TGGGAGTTCACCCCATTGTGCGGCACTCAGTTCAGCTTTCCTCTTTAACCACTGAGCCATTGCACTCCTAGGTTAGGGAGAAGGCTAAGATAATTCCACAGAATGATTCTTAGGAGATTGAACCAGCTATCACACCAGGGCATATTTTGATGTTGCCCTTCAGAGTAACTTTGTAGTTCTGGACCAACTTAAAAGGATGCTTTAAGGGATTGTTTACAAAAATTATAAATTATACCTTTGTCCATGGCAGAAAGGACTTCTGTGTACATCAGCATAAATAGCCAGTGATTCTTATCTTTCCCCCTACTTGGAATGATGCTGGGACAATATGTTATTTTCAGCCAGAAGGAGCTGCCTGTTGAAGGACAATGTACAGTATGTTGTACTGCTACATCCAATGTAGACAAATAGTTGGGATCATATTAGTAAAATTCTTTTCTAAAAGGTGATTATCTGTGCTGTTCCAAAGATTTGATACCAAACTTGGTTTCCTAAAGGTTTGTCAGCAATAAAACTGGTGCAGTCAAGCTTCTCTGCATGTTGTGGTCTAATCATTCTAGTGTTTTAAAGAATTTTGATTTGGAATTGTATTGGCTAAATCCCATACCAATAGAGACTGACACAGTGCCACGAAACCCCAGATCCTTGCCTAAACATGTAAAAAAAAAAAAGTGCAAGCTTCATAAAGAAGTTGGTGCCTTTGCCCAAGCATTCAAGTATATTGTGGAGTTGCTGTTTGTTTGTTTTTTTTCAAGTTTTTTTTTAAAAAAATCCTTCACCAAGAACAGCCATGTGTTGTAATAGGACTCTGAAAATTACAGTTATCTTTTTTTCAGTGCAACTTTAACTCTCCCTTCTCCTCCTTTCTTGTAAAAACTCACCCATTCCCAGAGAGTTATCTAAGAAGCTCTTTTGCAAGCTACAGAAACAAGTGGATTACCTTTCATAAATTTATTTTCTTTCCAATTTCAAGTTTAATGTTCTTGGCAAGAAGCAGAGATAAAGACAGAAAAGAAAGGATGAGTTGGAAGAAAAGTACTAGAAACTGTGGTCCCAATTCTTATGGGAGTGTGTGTGAGGTAGATAAGAATAATAGCTACAGAGCCAGCACAAAGAGAATAAGCAGTTTGTGCTGCTACTTCCAACCACTGCAGTTCCTATTTTACCTAAGAAAAATCAGCATACTTCCTCAGTTGCTTTAACTTCTTTTAATTGTTTATTTATACCATGTATCTATTGCTCTTTAATAAAATACCAAATAGCTATGATGATGCAAGCTCAATTCCATCAAGTTAGCTAAATTACCACAGTTAAAAGTGTTTGTTTCTTTATTAAATATTTGAATGAGCCATTAGCAATAAACCTCTGTTGTTTATGCAAATTTGTCTTTCAGCATGGATATGAAGTGCTAAAAGATTGTCTTCGCTTTCATAGAACCTGTAATCCTATTGGAAAGCCAGACTTTTTTAAATACAATTTTTACTGAAGAAGTTTTTTAATGAGATAAAAACAAATATTAGAAAAGAAACAGAGAAAATAAAGAAAAATAGTGAATGAATAAGAAATAAAAAAAGAAAAGATTATAAAGAAGCAGTTTCTTATCTTTTGACAGAAGATATAAATGAAATTATATTTTAGAGGATATATTTTACCCTCTCTAAGGTTGCACCATAATTTCCTTCTTTCCATAAGCTATTTCTTCTAATCTTCAAACCCATAGATCACAAGATCATTTTCCTCTATTTTTCAGCAAAAAGCCCATAAGGGGTTTCCAGTCACTGATAAATATAGTTATTGATCTTCCTCTAATCCAGGGGTGTCAAACTCTCAACGTCGCATATCACGACGTATCGTGACTTTTTCTCCATTGCCGGCAATGGGGTGGGCACGGTTTTGGCACTCCGGCCTGTGGGCCGGCAGTTTTGACACTCTGCTCTAATCTTCTTGTTGTCATCTTCACCACATATTTATCTATAAGCCAGATTTTTAAGGGGCAAATAAAACCTTAGGTTCTTTCATGTAGTCTACTCAAGGTTAATACCAATTGGTTGAGTTTTATTATTTATTTATTACTTACCTTCCTACTGAATCATTCTCTGGGGGAAATTTTTTATTTTTATTTTTAGCAGTCCAACAACATCCCTGGAGGCAGTGCATCCCCCCAGGAATTCTTGAAAGGGAATGTTTGAAGTGGCAGCTTTGGCTCTCCCCTCACCAGAATCAGTGGAGGAAAATGCTCTGTCTTTCCTTTTGCTTGTATTCAGCTTCTTCCATGAAATGTTTTATAATTACCTCCCCCAGGCAAAGATTGATTTGAGTATCTACATCCTGTAAGATTGTATGAGATGTATAAAGACAGAGCAGCTGAGTGTCCAAAACAGAAGGTGAATGGGAGCAGAGTGAGGGGGATTTTCCTCATAAGCTGTCTCTCCAATTTGTAATTTGATGGACAGAGAGTAGGATCTCATCATAGCCAGGATGCTTTCTCAAGTGCTACAAATCCAGAGAGGTCCCTGTTTCTTGCACAGAGGAGGAGGAGGCAATAGGTGGGCAGCAAACTGGCAATGGGAGAATGAACAAGTACTTAATAATCAATTCAGCACCAAGTTCCTAGGGACAGTGTTCACTGTCTTTAAAAAGTATTATGTAAAATTAATATATACTCATACCAGATTACTTTCTAAATACAAATCAGTAACTAGAAATATTTGGAACATTAAGGAAGCAAAAGATTAGCAGTTCTCCAGGATTCCAAATAGAAAAGGTGTTCTGTAACAGGGAAGGAAGTTTTGCTGCAGTTATACTGCCTCTAAAGAAATAATCCTTGGGTTTTTAAATGCGGCTGAAGACCACAGTTTAAGCCACTGATTTAATCATGGATATAATGGATAAACCTCACTTTTCCTTTATACCGCACACATAATATAAAGTGTGAACCCTAAAAGAAAATCACCTTTATGATCTTGCTTATAATGAAGTAATATGCAACCCTCCAACTAAGCTTGATTCGTACTAAATGCCATTTTGATTTAATTTTGGTCATTTAATTTTGATTCCCTTTGCATATCCCATCGTTTGATTGATCAATTGAGATTTCAGGGTGTGCTAAACAAGATACAGTGTATTATTGAAGAATTCTACAAGGATAAACCTTTGCAGAATATCCCTTGAGACCCTCTACTTGAGGAGTGATGCTATGATAAAGCAGAGATATGCAAATTCTTTCAGGCCGAGAGACACATTTGGCAAGACACCATATACTTCTGTAGACAATTGTGTTTGAAAGGGCTTTCAGGTGCTATAATTCTGAAAGGCCAAGAAGAGGACACAGCATGAATAAGATTTAATGCAACTTGTTTTTCCATGTGAAATAATATTCCTAACAGTTTCTTTAATACAAACTATAGCCACATAAATAATAGTTATTTACATAAGTAATTACAAAATTTACCTAAGTTATTATAGGCTAGAAACTGGAAGACCATGAGTCTCTAGTTCATCCTTCAACACAAAACCAACCAGGTGACTTTGGACCATTCACTCTCTCTTAGTCCTAGGAAGGAGGCAAGGACAAATCACTTCTGAAATCTTGCTAAAAAGACTGCAGGGATTAGACAGAAATTGACTCAAAGGCACAGGGGGAAAAAAGTTATTTTACTAGTAAAATTCTTTTCCAATGAGATTATATTGCTGTTTGCTATCTTTTCCCCTTTACTAGAATGCAGAGTTCTTAACCAATACATTTTAAACAAACCAGAACTATTATATACTACATTGTGGATGGAATCAAAGTGGCTGTTATAAGTTACTTCTGGAAAGATGGCTGATTTGTTATATTATACCAGAGCAGTGATTCCTGCTGCGAATTAGGCACTTCCAGAATCAAATGGCTGGCTTTAGTTACTTAGAAGTCTGATTTAATAAGAATAAGCCTCAAGATGTGGTCACAAGCAAAATGTGACCAGTCTGCTGCAATTTAAGTTAACTTAGAAGAGAAAACTTCTTTAAGAATCTCTGGTACTTGCTTTTAGTGGGCATATTTTATTATCCTCAAATGTTAAACTGAACCATAGTTTGTTAACCATATTTTGCAGAAGAAAGGCCATTGGTTGATTTTCACGATCTGCCAAGCCAGTGATGGCGAACCTTTTAGAGACCCAGTGCCCAAACTGCAATCCAAAACCCACTTATTTATCACGGAGTGCCGGGTGGATGTGGCCATGGTGGTCATGGCAGACTGGGTGGGCGGGGCCAGGGCGGTGGGGGCCAGTCCCTCGTCATCTCCAGGGCACGGCACACGTGCCCACAGAGAGGGCTCTGAGTGCCGCCTCTGGCACACGTGCCATAGGTTCGCCACCACTGTGCCAAGCCATAAACCAGGGGTCTTTAAACTTGGCCCTTTTTTGACTTGTGGACTTCAACTCCCAGAATTCCTCAGCCAGGCACGCTGGCTGAGGAATTCTGAGAGTTGTCCACAAGTCATAAAAAGGCCAGGTTTGAAGACCCTTGCCACAAACCATATACGCATCATGTACAGTACATACCATAGCCATTGGGTTTATTAAATACCACTGTAGAAATCATATTTTGGCTCAGTGGGGAAGAATATGCTGCCCCCATAGTTGTTATGAGACCAGGATAACCTGAATATATCAGGACCAGATAATGTTCTCTGACTTTTCTTTCCAGTCTGTGCTTAATATTGGCTCAGCCACAGTGTTGAGCCTGTGAGGAATATGTGCTCCTCAGCTGTAGCAGTTAAGCTTCAGATTATTATTCACTGATTTTCTTTCCAAGATTCCTTGCTCCATTTGTGTTATATATATCTTTATTTCAATTAGGATTGAAGAGAAGCATAACCAGTTGATGCTCAGTTTATTAGATGCTAATAGAAGAATTTCTCTTCTCTTGACTCCTAACTGTCAACAAATATCTATCACAACAGAATTTGAGACTCTTCACAGAAAGTAAATAAAGTATTGCTGCCTTTTCTCTTTAAGAAAAGCCAGAAATGGATGAATTCACCTTGGAAAGAGTGCTTGAGGAATTGGAGACTGTGTGCTCTGAGAATATGAATATTGCCATTGAGACAGAAGAAGGCCTTGGGATAGAGTACGATGAGGATGTGGTATGTGATGTGTGCCGTTCACCAGAAGGAGAAGATGGCAATGAGATGGTTTTCTGTGACAAATGCAATGTCTGTGTGCATCAGGTGAGTAGCAGTTGTCTCTGTGATCCGGTAGTAAGGACAGTTCCCTCAGATTTATTGACTCAGAATTGGAAGGTTATCTTACCTTATGAAAGCTGACCCAGGCCAAGCAGTGATGTTAAAAGAGCATTCTTAGATTCTTGCTGCTATGTCCTGTAGCATTCTCAAGACTGAACCGATTTACCTTACATTTTTATCTCTGGGAAATCTAGGGCATTTCCAGGTGCCTAGAACGACTATATCTGCAAAAATGCTGGCAACTACTACATTGAAAAGGCAAAGTTCTGGAGACTTGCCACAGCCAGAGTCTGATTTGGGCAACCTTAGGAGTTGCCTAAAGGGAGAACAGGAGACACTCAACTTGTCTTGTTCATCAACAATAGCAGATGATGATTTATTTATTTTTGCATTTCTTAACCATTCAGTGGTATCTTTGGATGCATATTCATGATATTTTTGTTGTTAATTGTGGCCAGTTTACTGCTTGTGATATTAAAGGAATAAATATGTCAAATTCAGGCATGCAAAAGATGTCCAAGAATTTTTATGTTGGAAATGCAGTAGTACCTGAAATGGAAGGCCACAAGACTAGATTCACTATTTCTCCTTCTTTTTAAATGTCTTTCCCCCCCCTTTTTTTTATTCATAAATTGCTGAGTCTGATATCTTTTTAGCTACTCGTTTATGTTTCTTTAGTATCATTCAGTGCATTATATTGCACTAAGACATAGTCTGTTTTAACAACTTGTTGCACAAGCCATTATAAGATGAAGTCAAAATCAATCAAACCATTTTATGGTTTTGTGTGATCTATAAACTTAGCCAGAACATTGAATAACCTTTAGGTCTCTGCTGTGGCTGTGGAAAACAGCTTTGAAAAATATTTTGTACTGAATTTGATAGGAAAAAAGTAACAAAAATATCACTGCTATTAAGATGGTAAATAAAAAATATTTCTTATGCAGTAGAAAATCTGGATCAAAAGTCCAAGATTAAGGCAATGGGGTCAGGCAGTCATGGAAATTTAGGGGCAAGAATAATGTGTTACCCATCCTCTCACTCTCTTTCAACTCTCATGCATTCATTCAGAAAATTGCCTAATCAGATTTTCGGGGAGGAATATTACTGTTTCACCTACATTATATTTCACCTACATTATATATTATACCAGTGATGGCGAACCTTTTAGAGATTGAGTGCCCAAACTGCAACCCAAAACCCACTTATGCATCATCGAGTGCCGGGTGGGTGTGGCCCATTGGGTGGGCATGGCCCATTGGGTGGGCGTGGCTGCGGTGGTAACGGCAGACTGGGTGGGACTAAAAAGTTCAATCAACCAATTCCAACTTTACAAGATCTTTTTTTTCCCCGCAAGAAGTTGAAATTGACTGAACCTTTTTTTTTTTTTTTTGCACATGGTGGCAGAGGCCTAAAGTGAAAAGGTTTTATAAAACCCAGCTGAAGGCCTAGGACTGGGGCGACGGCACGCGTGCCCACAGAGAGAGCTCTTGAGTGCCGCCTCTGGCACCCGTGCCATAGGTTCGCCACCACTGTATTATACCATTATATTGATGGTAGGTGGGAACAGGGAATCCCATACACTTAATATTTGTAAACTAATACAGTCATTTTATTCATAAAATGCATCATGGTACTTTATCATAAGGTATATTAATCTTGATATGCACTCATCACATAAGTAACTAATCTTTATCCTTATATTTCTTTTTAGGCTTGTTATGGAATCCTAAAAGTTCCCCTTGGAAACTGGCTCTGTCGGACCTGTGCCCTCGGAGTTCAGCCAAAGTGTTTACTCTGCCCAAAGAGAGGGGGAGCCCTGAAACCTACCCGGAGTGGAACAAAATGGGTTCATGTTAGCTGTGCCTTATGGATTCCCGAAGTACGAGACTAAGTGATTTCTGCCTAAACAGAACGAACGGAGTGTGGATGAAATCTGTTTGGATTAGATCATGCTTGCTACATCTTCCACAAACTGTTCATACCATTGAATGAAATTATTTAAGAAAATCTAGCATTTGAAACATTATTATGGTTATCCCTTCAGACATTCCAAATAAATGCCCTCATGGTATGGGGGTATGAGCATCCCCAGAGATTTGTGTCAAAGGCGTATTTTGTGATATTCATCTTCAGAGAGAATTGGTTCATTGTTCTTGAAGACAATATATGGAAACTGATTATTTGTATGCTTTGTCTTATTCTCAGGTTAGCATTGGATGCCCTGAAAAAATGGAACCGATTACAAAAATTTCACATATCCCAGCAAGCAGATGGGCTCTGTCGTGCAGTCTTTGCAAGGAGTGCACTGGAACCTGTATTCAAGTAAGTAATTGATTCTAAGAAAATCCAAGAATCAGATCTTTTATTTTTTGTGCTCTGCCTATTTTAAAAAAAATGATGACATCACCTTACAATTTTGTACAGACATTGTGCATGTTTGGATTCACTGGGCAACAACGTAGATAAACAGTTTAAAAAGTCTGTCATTGCTGGCTTTTCAGCAATATTTAAGCAGCGCTGCTACCTTTATTTAGCATTTTATTGTCAGTGCACTTGGATTTGTTAACAGCAGAATCATTCAACTTAGAATACAGCAAAAGGCCATTTAATTGAGTTCCTAGATCTGAAACACCTTTTCCCAGACATGCTATGTTGTTCTTTGATTAGTGCTAGAAGAGTTGTTATGGCATCTTCATGCAGTCTGCTGCCTCTCTGCAGGCAGCTCTCTCTACAAACAGGAGAGTAAGAGAGATTGTTTGCAGGTCTCAGCCTGACTGATAGCTGTTTTTCTACCAGGCAGACAAACTAATGAGATAATTAATTAATCAGGTTTTTTTGACTGCAACCACAGAACAACTCTTTGGCAGGATTCTGCAGTTTGCACTAGTGCCATGAAAATGTCATCTTTGATACCAGGCCTTGCTTTCTTAGAATGTTTCATTAAAATTAAAATTGTTTCTTTCCTGAAATGAAAACTTGAATGCATTTCTTTAAATCTTCCCAATGTTGATTCAGTTCCGACGGTTCTTGGTGGATCTGCTTATTCAACCTGCCAGATGGAGATATTTTGTCACAAAGGCAGCTGCTTTCAAAGAACGGAAGGGCAAAGAAACAAATCAGCTACACTAGGCAGAGGGGTGGGGGGATATGTTTTCTCCAAGATTTCATCCTCTTAGTTCTGGTTCACATCTTAGTTTTGAAACTGAATGGATTTGCATGAAAAGTTGTCTGAAATGGAAAACAAAGTGTTTATTCTTCTGTTGAAACCCACAGTCTGTCAGTCTTCATTAAGATTGCCAGTAAGACTCTTGGTCAGTACTAAATTGAATGTTGTTGCAAAGAAAAAGAAATATGTGGATGATTCATTTGTTTAAACATTTAAGCAATGACTAAGCACTAATCTGGAATTTAGAAATAAATGAAATTCAATCTGCATACCCTCCCACTCCATTAGGATTGCAAATTCCGTTACAATGTGGTGATACAGCACCTTCTTCTGGATTTGTTTATCCAGATGGATTTTAAAATGCAACTCTGCGTTTGAGTTGAAATAATCTTTGTTTTCAGCGAAACCTTATTGGAGAGAGCTATCAAAATCTGTGAAGCTTAGTAAAAGCTATAGAGCTTAGCACAAAGTGGATATAATTCTGAAGAAATCAACATGAATGGTTAAAAGAACAACCGTCCAAAAGAGACTGGCTAATTATATTTAACTAAAAATTGGAGAGAGCTTGTGCTAATAAAAACACAAATATATTATGGTTGAAAGTCAGAAAAAAGACTCCAGCTAGCATTTGACCAATATATAGACAAAGTACTTTTGAAGTAAATGATAGTTAAGAATTATAACATGCAAAGATATTAATTTGTGCATCCCCAGTGACTGTCCATTAGTATTAAGGAAATAATATGATGCATGAAAGCTCTGAAAGCGAAACAGGAAGCATCATTTCAGTGCTCCAAGGCATCAGTGACATGTAACTGTCAAACATCTTGCAAAGCTATAAATTACCAGCAACCTTAAAAGAAGGGCAGCTAGAATCACCTAACATCATGTAATGATTCATAATTGTCTGCAGATCTTCACTGTATTCAAAGTTCTTAGGAGAAATTGGGGAAAATGCACGTTGAGTTCTTTGAGTTCAGAATAACTCATAACTTGCATATGAACCAGTTTTGCCTAATGGCACCAGGTTAGAAACCAGGACACTGTGAGTTCAAGTCCCACCTTAGCCATGAAAGCTAGCTGGATGACTTTGGGCCAGTTAGCCTCTCTCCGCCCAACCCACCTCACAGGTATGTTGTGGGGAAAATAGGAGGAGAAAGTCTATGGCACGGGTGTCAAACTCGTCACATGACGTGTCGCGACATATCGCGATTCTTTTTGCATTGCCAACAATGGGGTGGGCGCGGCTTCGGTATGATGAAACCGGCCTATGGGCCGGCAGTTTGACACCCCTGGTCTATGGAGATTCTCAATCATCCAAATAATGGTTGTTCCAATGATGTTTTTTCAAAAGGCAACTGAACTTTCTTGTGTTTTTTTCCTTGAAAACATTTCACTTCTCACTCAAGAAGCTTCTTCAGTTCTGGCTAGAAACTGTTTCCAAGGAAAAGAAATCAAAGTCCTGTTACCTTTTGAAAAGCACCTTTGGGACATAGGAGGAGGAAGGTGTGTTGGATATTTTTGCCATCTTGAGTTATTTCTAAAAATAATAAAGGTGATGTATAAATAATTCATAACTTGCCAGATAGTTATATGGCTTGTAGGGACTTGAATATGATCTGAGATAAATTAGGATCTTGCTAATCTCATGTTGATGGCAGAGGTAGCCACTTCCAGTGGCCAGAATTGCATTAACATCACATAATACTCTGCTGTGATGATATTTCTGCATGGGGGACTCACTTTGCTGGAGTTCCTAGAACATAAGATTCTACTGTTAATCTACTGTTAATCTCAGTTCTGTCTGGAGTGAGATTGATGGATAGTCTGGAAATTACTTGCTTCGTGCCTACTCCTCCCTTACTTCCCTCTCCTTGTGTATAAAATGATGTTCAAACCAGAAGATGCTGCATTGTTCAGTAATAAATCCTGTTGGGGAAAATGTGTAGATATATCCATTATAAGCAGAGAAAGAAGAGGAGACTTTATTTTTCTTTATTTTATGAACCCTTAAGAAAGATTGTAGGGAAAAGAGATGAAAGGCACTTTCTTTCTTTTCCAAGATACTATGTGCTCTTGAGATTTTTAGCTGGACATAAATCAGTATTAATCTTAACCAGGTTTAGCAATTCCTTGAATTTTCCTTTTCCCTTTTTGAAGTCAGGGACAACAAAGCTTTGATTCAACCCAAATGAGATGGAGTGCTATTGATTTGGAAGCTGTTTGATTCTCTGATTATGCCATAGCTGACTCTTGATGGAGTTGTGTTTCCACAGAATGAGCTGGATGGCCTCCTTGGCTCATGGCTCATGCTCAAAAAGCAGGTGGAAATCATCACCAGGAGGAGTGTTGTACAGCTACACTCCTGATGAACCAATTAGGAACAGAATGTAGTGAAAGAGGTCACTGATGTCCTTATCATTCCTAAATTACTGTAACATATTGTACATGGGGCCAACTGGAAACTTCAAGTATTCCAGAAAACAGCATGTATGCTCAGTGGAGAGTCTTGATGTTACACTGCTGCTGTGGGAATTGTATAGGTTACCTATAGATTTCTAAGTGCAATTCAATGTGCTGCTCATTAGCTATAAAGACCTTGTGGCTTAGGGCCTGAGTATCTTAGGGGGATACCAGCAGTTTCCCCAGCAGTTTCTAGCCATCAAACCCAAACAGTTAAGAAGTTCTGTTTCTGTTATTTGTACATTGGGTGATTGTACAGCAGTCTATTGGGAATTACTTGTAAGTGGTTCATAGAGTTGCAACTAGGTTGGTTATAGAGTAGCGGTTCTCAACCTATGGGTCGCGACCCAATTTGGGGTCGATCGACCATTTCACGGGGGTCGCCAAGCAAGGCTGTCCGCCATTTTTTTCCCCTTTTCCGGGAGGTGCCTTACCTCCCTTGGGCTGGGCCAGCTGGTGGTCGGCCTGCTCCGTCTCTGCTGCTTGCCAGCTACGCCTCGGCCAGCACAGGGAGCAGAACCACGCATGCGTGGCACTCCCGGGCAGGGAAAGTCCTCGACTTACGACCGGTTGGGTAGTCCTCGACTTACGACCGGTTTAGTCCTCGACGTACGACTGGTTTAGTCCTCGACTTACGACCGGTTGGGGGTCGCGGCATTAAAAAGGTTGAAAACCACTGTTATAGAGTCTTTCGGTGGAATCTTTTTACACACGCATGCACACACATGCATACCCATAGAAAACATTGAAACTGAGGGCTCTGCATTGGCTGCAATTTAAATATTGATTAAACATATTACATGAAACTGTTGAAACTAAGAAAACAAAATACTGTAAGCATAAAATTAGCCAAAACAGCTTCAGTACTTGTTATAGGACTTGTTATCCTGAATTGCACATATGAACAAACATATATAGGTTATCACCTCTTTGACTATAACATTCAAATAAGAACATTTTAGCACAGGCTTATCCAACCCTGTGGTTTATCTTCTTCCTGTTAGTGTGTGCACATATTATCATGTAACTTTATTATCATGTAACTTAGTTCATTTTATCTTTCAGTATTTTCTCCCTTGCCCTGCTGTACAGTTTCATTCAGTCTAGGTCAAAAATATTGCATCAATAATGTCTTCACTATCTCTTAGCATTCTTTGATAGCAAAGGTTGAACAGGTATTCTTTGTTGTTGATCCCATTAGCCCAGCTTACTAATTATTTCCTGTGTGCATTTTGGGCAGAGTCCCTGATAAGCACCACTTGCCATCTGTCAAATGAAACCCTGGATGGGTGGCATTCTATTTACTTTATCTCTAAGGTAGCATGGATCATCTTTCCTGTTTAAAAGGGCATTGTGTAGGCTGTTGTTCCAGCAAAAGCCATAAACAATTTAAGAATGATATTAATACTGTTTGTGACGCAAGTAGCAAAGGCAAGGAGGGGATGGGACTGATTAATTTATTGCAGTAACTTGAAAACTAGTAGAGCCAAAAAGTTTCTTGCTCAGCTTTCATCTCACCACTGTGCCTTTTACTTGTGCACATAGCAGCACAAAGGATCTTTCCAATCTCACATTTTAAAATAACCCTGGATGTTACACAATTGCCTCCATTGGTAGCTGTCTGGCTACGTGTACAATAAAATTATGGCTTTTGGCTATTGGACAAGAAAACTTGGAGCTGTTTATAGTTGGCAACTGGCTGCAACCTCAAAATGCAGTAAGAATTAGAAAAATAATGGTACTGCATCTTTTCAACATTTTTTGATTCTCTGAGTCACATTAGGTATGCCCACAATCAACCACATTATAACCAACCAACTTTGCTTTATGAATCTTTTTTTTAATCACTGTTTTTAATCTTTACCTGAGTTTCCCATGCTGTGGATTCCTCATACTTCGGCTCTAAAAAGCAATTTGAAATATTTAAGTAGGACAGTTACTCAGGGCCTGTTTAATCCTGGCAGATTCCAAGTACATAAAGCAAAGGCAATGGTCTACTTTGTATAGAAAAAAGTTATGAAGAAAAAGATGCGGAATAAAATCCTTCATACCAGCCTTATATTCTCCTAGGGTGATTTTTGGAGTTCAGCAGAGCAGAAAAACGCCTTGGAGGATCATTGAAGCAAAAATGAAACCACAAGAATGGATATATTAAACTATCCATAGAATTACTCTTCCTTTTCCCTGAAATATCAGGTCTCATACTTAACTTCTCAGTATCCTGGGTGTTAATGTAATCACTCAAAGCCAGAGCTAGCATTTTGGTAATTATAAGATCCTGGTAATGTAAGCCATTCAGGGTGCTGCCTACAGTAATAAACCCTTCAAAAATGTGCTTACCGCAATTTAACTGGCATTAACAGCTAGAATAGACTGATTTCATATGGGTTATGGCTTGAATAATTATATGACACTCTGATCCATTAAAAAACAGTTGATGAATAGTGGAAGGCTTGGAAGAGGCAATAGTATTACAGTATAAACCTGTTATGTTCAGAGTAACTGGTGCTTTAGGTTTTGTCACCTGAGGAAGGAGGATCTAGCAGAAGACTTTCATAAAAACACTTTAAGATTCAATAATATATATGCTTTTTAAATTCTCTTTTCTCAGTGCAATAACGATTAATACATTTAGTTTTAAAGATAGTGGCCCAGAAGAAATTGAAGTCACTTTTTCCATTTTTAAATTAATAATAATTAAAGACATGTATGCATGTGGTGTGTATCTCTCATATCAGATGGAAGAAATGAGTAAAAGTGCTTCCAGATATATTACAAGTTCCTGAAAGGACAAAAATTCATATACTTTTTTCATAAAATTATACCCTGTCTGTCAAGCAAAAATCAAGGTACTGTGGTGTAAAGATTAAAAAGAATAGTGGCAAATAACTATAAGTAATCCTTGATTTACAACTGGTCGCTTAGTGACTGTTCAAAGTTAAAACCGAAGAGGCCTTACGACCCAGATTTCAAATTCCCAACAGTTGGACCTTCTCTGTGATCACATGACCTAATTTTGGGTGTTTGGCAACGTAGCTCCATTTATGGACATCTGTAGTGTCCCACAGTTACGTGGCTGTGTTTTACGACAGTTTTGACAAAACCTTTATGTTTTGACAAAGCCCTACCCATAGCAATCCATTGCTTCACTTAATGACTCGCTTAATGATCACCACAAAAAAGATTACAAAATTGTCATGTGACCGACCAGCTTTACTGCCAGCTACATTGCAATCATATGTTGAGGACTAGCTGTTGAGGACTAGCTGTATGACCCATCTTCCCAGCTGCCAAGTATATTAGTACTTAAGAAGTATACACTTTTGTATTGTTCTTTTCTTCATCAAAATCCCAATAAAAAAGGTGTCAACGCTGTAACATTGGATGTTCCTGCTCTGACAACTGATGGAAATGCAGCCATTTTTACTTTGCTTTTAACATGCTTTTTCTTCTGTTTAGAAATTAGAAGTTGAAGGGGGGATGGGGTGAATGCTTGAGCTTAGCTAGCCATAATAACAATGCGGCTCCGTTGGAAACTCAAGGGCACAAATTGATAATGTTTTGGCGGGCTGAGGAGCTGGAAAGAGAGCCCCGCTCCTGGCTAATTGGAGGATGTGATTTAGGACTGCTTTGTGGGGGTGGGACTTGCATTCTGTTACTTTGTATCTGGGGGAAGGGAATCTAGTTTGGGGTTCAACCATGTAGTGCCGATACTTTGTTTCCTGAATAAAATGTTCTTTGAGGAAGAATTCTTGCCTTGAAGTTGTTTGGATGGGTTTCATCTATCGGAACCATGACAAAAGGATGATTCAGTAGGGAAAATGGGAAGGAAAGGCTTTTAGATTTCATTTCTCTGCCATTAATATCACATACCAATACCTTACATTTCAGAACATCTCCAGATTACATTACTTTCATGTACTAATGTTCTTGTGCCCTATGACTTTGCTCAGACACCTTTGCTCAGACACCATTTCTTCTAACAAAAGTTTACCTTCAATGCTGAAATTGTTTGTGTCTTAACTTTATCTATGTGACACATTTAAAGCTTTTTCTTCTGATGTTTTCAACTCTTCCTTTTTCTCAGGCCTTTCCCCCCCAAACATTCTGCCACATAGCTGTTATAAGTAGTACATTTTTTCTGAGATTTGTTTATTTCATTCCTCATTTTGAATCTTTTGAATAAGGGTAAATCATGTTGCTCCATACAGATAAATAAATAAATTTATATTCGGCCTATGGTGTTACTTCAGTTGAGCCTTTGATGTATCAGTCCCTTCTGTATAGCTGCACGAAACGAACCAGTATCAGTTTGTAGGTTGCATGGAAAGACTACATAAGAAGCCAATCCAAGTTTCCACCTTGATTCTTTAATGGGAGGCATCCAGGTGGAGCCCCTTGCTTTTGCTATGTTATGACCCCAATAAAGTGACCCTGTTTCACCTAGCCTTAACATGTATTGTGTCTTGACTGACATCTTGTCCTATATATGGGATAATTAGCTGAAGTTCTATAAATGAAATTGATCAAACTCTATTGCGTAGCCTCTGAAAATCTGCTATACAGAGAACTAGGTGAGGAGGGAAATAAAATTGCTTTATTGTTATTTGCTAAACTTGTGTCTTTGGAAGAATGTATTTTCTTGTGTGTATTTTTTATCTTTGTGATAGACCAGGGGTCTCCAACCCCCGGTCCGTGGACCAGTACCGATCCGTGGCATGCCAGCAACTGGTCCGCACAAACAAGCGACGCCCCATCCGTGGGATGCAGGCAGCACACAAAACCACTCAATCTCCAACCGCGGAAAAACCTTTCTCCACAAAACCGGTCCCTGGTACCCAAAAAGTTGGGGACCTCTGTGATAGACCATAGAAAATGAATTATAGATACTTAGGAAAATTGGCTTCTTAGTGGGGAGTAAGTATGCATCTCCTTAGCAGCACAGTGCACATTTTAAAAGCTGAGCAGTGTATCGGTATATTTGTTCCATCTTACCCCACAGGGCATGGTTATCCTCCTTTTCCTGAATGAATCTTACATTATATTTCATAATATCATGGCTTGTATGTTATCACAGAAGGCTATCAAAGAATAGGAACACTTTATCTGATCATACTGAAATACATACAGTGGATCAGTTTAACAGGATAGAAGTTTGTCTATATTGAATAATTTAATTACGTCTCAGCAAATCAAATAGATCCCAAGAGAAATAGTTCTGTGATGTAAACATAATGAGAGCAACAATGCAGCATAGAAACAGGATATTTCTCAGTGCTTAAAAGGTTTGTGCAAATGCGTGTGGGGTATTTCTTCATCACCTCAAAAAAATGCCAATGTGAAAGGTAATGAGAATACAATACTTTCCATTCCTTTCCCCCCCCCCTCCTCCTGTTTCTGTTGATAATTCTCTCTTGGGCTTATATTGAGATCTTCTTGCAAAAATGTTACTAGTTGACAATATTTGATGTACAATGTTCCAAGCAGCTATTTGAGCATTTGTTCTTTTTCCTTTCCCATTCTAGTGTTCCATGCCTTCCTGCATCACAGCCTTCCATGTAACATGTGCCTTTGAGCACAATTTGGACATGAGGACACTGTTAGCAGAAAATGATGAGGTAAAGTTCAAGTCATTTTGTATTGAGCACAGCACTGGTGCTACCAAGCCACCAGATGAGGCACGGATGGAGGCAGATCAAGGTAAACTAGACATGGAAAAGGTAACACTGAGAAAACAGAAGCTCCAGCAGTTGGAAGAGGACTTCTATGATCTTGTGAAACCTTCTGAAGTGGCTGAGAACCTTGATTTGACTGAGTGGCTAGTTGATTTTGTCTATCAGTACTGGAAGATGAAGAGAAAAGCCAATTATAACAAGCCACTGCTGATGCCCAAGACAGACGAAGTGGATAATTTGGCTCAGCAAGAGCAGGATGTATTGTACCGGCGCTTGAAGCTGTTCACACACCTTAGACAGGATCTTGAAAGGGTGAGTAGAATTATTGGGATTGATAACTCTTGTTTGTATAATCCTGCTTTCCACATTCTGGCACCATCCAAATGTACAAAAGATTACAGCTCCCCAAATTCCAATGTAAAGGTCCCAGTTCATCTATAGATTACCAGACTTGGGGGAGATTAGTTTAATCAGCTTTCTCTAAAGTTACTTAAACCTGCAGTGGATAGACATACATTATCTTTTGGTTGTAAATTATTCCATTTTGTTATAATAATAATAATCGTATTTTTGTTTGCTACATTAGTGCTGAATATGTCATTACCGTCTAGTGAGGAAATGATAAGAACATCAGCTTTTCTCTCTAGCTTGGAGGAAAATGACCCTAATTATTCAGTTGCAAAGCAACCATAAATGGTTCAGAAGCATGCAAAACAAAATTATCCCTATTTCATTTTTTTCCTACGGTTAAATGTATATTTTTGCTTTTATTTTCAAGTGTGATAAAAAGGTTAATTATTAGTGCAGCTTAATAATGCATATTCACTGGTTTGATTAGAAGACAAAATTCATGTCCATTACATCCTCTGGTTCTTTTATTGTACTGTATTGTATTGTATGATAAGATATAACTATAGCAAGACTGCAGCCACAGGATGAAGGACTGGAGGTACCATACCATCTCTGCCATAAGATAGTTTGGTACCTCCAGTCTTTCGGTCTTCATATCCTTGGATCTACTTCCTGCTTTAGGTAGCAACTTGGTTGTTCCTTTATCCAACACTTTCTTCCATAGAAGACTTCATTTGTCACCCATCTCCTAACTCTGGTATGTGTAAGAGATAGAAATGCCATATTCTGTGCCTTTTCGGTGTTTAAAAATCAAAATGCAAAAATTGAAATAATTTCTGTACTGCCACTTCTTGGGTGTGTAATATGTAAGTATGGCAACTAAAGAATTCAGCCCTTCTTGCCCCAATCTCCCCCCCCCTTGAAAAATCAATCTTACAGGAGATTAAAAACAAAAGAAAACATTAGAAAAATAATAAAATGTAATTTTTAAAATTGTAATATGTATACATTCATTATAGAAGAACATAATTACAGAGTTGCCCCCAGTGACATACTATAGCACAGTGGTGGCGAACCTATGGCACGCGTGCCAGAGGTGGCACTCAGAGCCCTCTCTGTGGGCACGCGCGCTGCTGCTGCCAGCAGCTTGCACAGGTCTACTAGGCTGCCGCCGCCATCCAGAGCAGCAGCCCCACCCAGCACAAAGGAGGCAAAACGGCCAGCTAGCAAGCTCGAGTAGAGGTGGTAGAGCACGCCCACACCCAGCAAGCCAAAGGCCATCCCGAGTAGGGAAAGCCGGATCCCCATCAGCGCCATGGCCCCCCAGTCCCACCTAGGATTGCGTGCCTCCCCTCATCTATGCTGGGCCTCCTACCCACTGCCCCACCCACCAGAGACCCCCTGGATCTCCCCCAACCCTGCCTGGCCCCCCACAGGCATTCCTCCTATGAGCAACATCGAGGTGGCCATGCCCACCGCAGCCACGCCCACCCAGTGGGCCGTGACAATCACAGCCATGCCCACCCAGTGGGCCATGCCCCCCCTGAAGGCACCACAATGCTGATACAGCCCTGGCACTTTGCAATAAATAGGTGGGTTTTGGGTTGTGGTTTGGGCACTCGGTCTCTAAAAGGTTCGCCATCACTGCTATAGCAGCTTGCAGGTTGTAAAGAAAGAAGACACAACAGTAAATGTAATGTTCCAGATAGACCATTGCTACAATTGAAGAACCTTCCATCCCTGAAGAGACCTGAGAGATTTCAAATTATTATTACAGATCACAAGGGTGATCACAAGAAAAAACTATATTCTTTGAGTACAAGATGAAGTATAACCAAAAGTAACCCCACAATACCATAGCTTAGACTTGGTGTAAGACAGAAGCAGAAAACAAAGCCTAATGCAAATTCCTGACTACACATTTTACCTATGTCTACAATCCTGAATCTAATAGTTTGCTTCAGAGTGCCTAGATTTCTCCAGCCTTTCTTTGGTTCACACAATTTACTGCATATTCTAAGCCCAAGAAAAGATGCAACACTAATAGCTTTGGCGTGCATGCCCACACCTCTTCCAAACCACTTTTTCAGCTTCAAATTCAAAGCAGTGTGCACCTCTCTACTGAGATATGATACAATGTGATAAACCATGACACAATACGATAAGAATACAACACAATATGATACAATATATTATAATGTAATACAGTGATTCTCAGCCTGTGGTTTGCAGACCCCTGGGGGAGGCCGCAATGTAGTCACGGGGGGGTCTGTGAAGGCTTGAAGAAATGTTATGATTTAAATCTTGAGTTAAGTCTTGGTGGTCCGTGGCCATGGCCCGTGGCCACAAAAGGTATTTAAAGGGAGTCTGTGGTGAAGAAAAGGTCGAGAACCACTAATGTGGTTATTTCTGGAATGAAGCCTCTTCTAGATACTGTAAAGCTATTCTCTGCTGCTTTTCTTATTTGGTGATTAATTCTCAGTGTAGAGATGAGTTTATAAATAGGACCAGGAAATATGGTAACACTGTCTTTTTGAAAGGATAGTTGATATTAGTGCAGACACACAGTAACCAATTACCATGGGAAAATTGCTTCTCCCCCCCCCTCTTGTTGTATATAGTGCTGCTAGGGTTGATGCCTACAAAGAGTTTTCTTAAAATTTTGCTTTTCAAAGTGCCATGCTATAAATACTATGAATTCTTATAAATTGCGTTTTTTATTAGCTACGCACATCTGAAATTTTTAAAAAATGGTATAACTTGTCACGTAGCTGTGCGAAGCTGAGGTGATGGAACTGGCATTATGTTATCAGCCCAGGAGCTGAAAAAGCAAAAAAGGGAAGAAGATCTCCGAAAACAAGTACAAACAAGCTTTAACAAAAAAAGGGATCTGAGATAGGAAGCAAGAGGAAGATAATAATGTGTGGGAATAAATATGTGCAGGACAAGCCCTAGTAGTGAATATTTCAGGTGTGTATGGCTGCAGTAGTTGGGCCAAGTTGAACAGCAAAGCTGTGGTTGATGTGCTCCAAGTACAGTGAAATGAAGAGTCAGAGCACAAATAAAAACAATGTTTTCATTATTTATTTTTATTCCATCACTTAACAAGATGAGTTTATTTATATGTAATGAACAACTTGTCTTTTTATAGAAAGCAGCGCTCTGCACCAAATATTTGTGTGGCCATGGAGTCCACATGATACTCATTTTTGCAAGTCTCATTTTTACAAAAACCCATTGTCTCTAGGATCCAAAATAAATAGAAAAGGTTACAGGAAATGGCTGTATGTAGTCAGAGAGGGGGGGGGGAAGAATCTTTTTAAAGAAAAGCTTTTTTTTTTTCAAACACGAAAACAAGTGTTAAGATTGCATTGATCTCAACTGTTCTTCTAATTTGTGTTTTTATTAGTACTTCTGCAACAGCTGTTTCTCCTGTCCTGTTAAATCAACCCTTCCTACAGTCACAGATTATTATGGTTAACTTAGATTTGAAAGTAATAATCTTTCCATTAAAACAGAATCATCTGTACATATATGCAAGCAAGCAAGCTTTGGTAGGGATTTTATCCTTGGTAATTTCTTGATTAGAAATTGACAGGGCAGGCTACCGCACATAAGTAGGGAGAAAACCCCACATTCACTCACACTGAAGATTCTATCTAATTGGGTAATGAAATATCTGCAAGCAAACAACCAAGCTCAGAGAGGCACCCAGGACTCGGCAGTTGTTTTTTCTGAGAAGCTATTTAAACCTCATAACCAAAGAAAGGTAAAAGAATATCTCAAATACAAATTGCATATTATACTTTATATGTTGGATTTTTTTAAAAAAAGTCCCAAAATAAGATCTTGTGTGTGTACATGTATGTGCAATAGCAGCAATATCTTTCAGTTAATGTTACTAGATCAGGGGTGTCAAACTCAATTTCATTGAGGGCCGCATCAGCATTGCAGGTGCCCTCAGGGGGCCAGGTGGGTGTGGCCAGGGTGGGTGCGGCGTACTGGGTGGGCATGGATGGAGTGGGTGTGGCCTACTGGGTAGGTGTGGCCAGCTCTACATTGTTCGTGTCAAGGGTGTCTGTGGGGGCCTGGGCAGGAGTGGGACAGATCTGAGGGTCTCTGGCAGAAGGGAGTAGGACCAGGGCAAGTGCCAAGGCATGGTCCATTGGAGGAGCCTCACTGTTCCTCTCAGGCCATGTGGGGAGGGGGGGCTTATGGAGCTAAGACTGAATGCATTTCAGCATAGATGGCCACCACAAAATTGTACATTGGCTCCCGGCGGGCCAAGGCAGCTGGGGCCATTCCCTCACTGTTTTCAGGATGGCTTCGCAGGCCACATGAAACCACTTCACGGGCCGCATCCGGCCCCCGGCCTTGTGTTTGACATGTCTGTACTAGATGGATATGTAGCGTACAGAATTAGACTTGACAGGAAAGTCTCAGATCATTTAACAGACACGATACAGTGTCCCCCAACTCTGAGGATTCTCTGCCAGAGTTCCTTTCTACTGTCCTATTTAGATTTTTCCAATACAGTATTCTCTGGGTAAATTGAACTGTCATTCGCAGCATCTCCAGTCAACTTGACT